TTAGGTAGGCGGATAAAGGAAAAATAAAGGCAAACGATGTTCACCTTTATTTTTCTTTCCGAAGTGAGGGGGGGATGTAATGAAGTGAATTTTCATTACTATTATTATTATTAATTAATTCCGGGTATTAATTTCGATTTTCAATTAATTTCAACTTCAGTTTTATCGCTGTTCAAACCATCGTCGAGGTATTGTGCCTGCGCGCGTTTTAATGGTGGGATTTTCTGATGTGGTAGGGCATGCGACGACTAGAACGTGGTCCGAGATTGAATTGAAATTTTTAGTTCCTAATATACCGATTTATCGAACAGACTTGCTTTGACACCGTTAAATCTAATAGTCGATTAAACGCTAAATACCTACGATACCGAAAATGTATTTCACGCCGCGAGGTAAAGTTTGTTGATAGTTTTTTTTTTGATAATTTCTTTCGTGCCCGAGACTTTAAGCCGTGCTATTTGAAACCGATTTAATTTTATTTATTCCGTGTTGAGTTAGGATTTCATTTGTTTTGATTTAAAAATACTTTAATTTATTCTTGTTAGAATACACCGTTCTTAATAATTTTAATTTTAGTTTATTTAAAGTTTTGAGCGTTAAACAATTTATTTTTTTTTATTTCAATCGTAGATATAGTCGTATAGTTAATTTTTCCTACTACTGGAAATTTCGGTTAATAAATAATACATTTCATTTTAGTTTATTTAAAGTTATGACCGTTAAACAATTTATTTTACATTCGATTGTAAATATAGTCGTATAGTTAATTTTTCCTACTACTGGAAATTTCCGTAAATAATAAATTTCATTTTAGTTTATTTAAAGTTTTGAGTGTTAAACAATTTAATTTTTTATTCAATCGTAGATATAGTCGTATAGTTAATTTTTCCTACTACTGGAAATTTCCGTTAATAAATAATACATTTCATTTTAGTTTATTTAAAGTTTTGACCGTTAAACAATTTATTTTACATTCGATTGTAAACTTAGTCGTATAGTTAATTTTTCCTACTACTGGAAATTTATGTGGATAAATTATACATTTCATTTTAGTTTATTTGAAGGCTTAACCGTTAATTAGTTTATTTTTCATTTAATCGTAAATATAGTCTTATAGTCAATTTTTCCTACTGCAAGAAATTTTCGTGAACAAATAATACAGTTTATTAAAAACATTATCCAATAAATAATTAATTGGAACTGTTTGGGAATTGCCTAATGTTTTGATTGGTTATATTTGTAGAATTGCGACGAGGCATTTTCTTTTGTTTCATTCTCCGAACTGCAAATTTTAAGAAAATTTAAATAGCATCATTCCCAGTTTGAAGCGGCTCGTGATTACGATCGCTTCATCCAGAGATAAGGTGTTATCCCGGCTATTAGTTCATTCTATATCTAAAAATTCATTTGCGTTAGGTCTCCGTTATTTCAACAGAACTAAAATAGTATCATTCCCCTGTCTGAAGCGGCTCGTGATTACGATCGTCTCATTCAGAGATAATGTGCTATCCCGGTTATTAGTTTATTTTCCGTCTGAAACCCTCATTTGCGTTAGTCTCCGTTATTGTAAGTGAACTCAAATAGTATCATTCCCCTGTCTGAAGCGGCTCGTGATTACGATCGCCTCATTCAGAGATAGTGTGCTATCCCGGTTATTAAATTTGTTTTATGTAAAACTCCGTTATTCAATTGACATTAAATAGTATCATTCCCCAGTTTGAAGCGGCTCGTAATTACGATCGGTTCACTCAGGGATAATGTACTATCCCGGTTGTTAGTTGGTTTTACTTTCCAACCACTAGTGAGTAAACCTCTTATGGGGTCCCGGTTTCAGCTCTGGAATTAGTATTATCCCGAACCTGTCTCCTCGCATTCTCTGCAACCAATATGATATTTTGTTTTACCGAAGCATTCAATTACATTTGATTGTAAATACCAATTAGAAAATTTAACAGTTAATTTTTGCTACGACCGAAATAATACTGCTGAATGAAATAGCAAATTGCATTTATAACTCAACAGCAGAATAAACAATTCAATAATAAACTTTTACTGCGACCGTGATAATTATAAGTATTCATTTTTTTTCTTTACGTCTGATTGAGACTACTCGAAAGTCATTTCCGTCCGTTTTGTTTGTTTATTTTTGTTCAGGGTTTGTACATATTACCGTGAGGGTGGGCGTTGAAATATTTAATTTATTTTTTTTTATTGTAAATAGTTAACCACAATATATGTGTCAATGTTAACCTGCCGTATTACTGGTTGTTAATTCCTAAATTTATTTCCCCCTTATATTTCAGCTAGTGATTAATTCTGTACCAGCCCAAGCAACGATTAAAGCCCGTTACTTGTGGCCTACTATTACCTGTGTCTAAGTAACCTTTGACCCCTGGAATTTTTCATCTCCATCTGTAGCTACCCGAGTACTTTCGACGCCGTTTCGAGAGTTTGTGGAGTAAACCATTACCAAAAATCTGGCGCTCGAGAACCGCCCGTAACCAGCGTCATTCGTAAGAAACCGTTTTCTCTGTGGCGAGAAAACCCCTTACAAATTTATTCTTTAGCAACTAAATCGACTTTTTCATTTCCAACTATCTCTTTATAACTTTTAACCCAGATAAAAAGGATCTTGATTTTAGAATTATGAAGAGTAAGGAGAGACTGAATAATTTCTCTTATAATAGGATTTTTGTTAATATTACAGGAATAGTTAGAAATTGAAAGTAAAACAGATTTCGTGTCTGAAAGAATAACCGATTTGCTTTCTCCATAGCTTTTTATCCAATTGAGTGCTTGTAAAATTGCAAAAGCCTCCGCTGTATAAACAGATGAATAATTTGGTAAATGAAATAAAGTTTTCATTTTCCACATAAAAAGCGCATCCTGTACCTTGTTTTCCTTTAGACCCATCGCAAAAAATAGTATTAACTGTATAAAATACAACTTATAAAGATTAAATTTCTCTTAACACTCCTATTGCTTCTTCATCTTACATTATTCTAAAAATGCCTGCTATGAAGACTATCCCAGCTAGAACATAACGTTGACAGGCCTTTCGGCAATCTTGTTTTAAGGGAACGTAATAACATTGCTATACAACGTAAATGCAACGTTCATGGAGAAGTCATTGATGGAAATCAAAACCTCGCAAAACTTCTATTTGTTACTTATTTATTTAACCTATATGTTATGATAACACAACGTAATAAAATAATTTGCCAAAAAAAGTATCCACCAGAAGTACTGTGAACATCACATTGTTTTCCATAAGTCATAACAAAATATTTACATAAAAAAGTTGTCACTTTTTCTTTTGGTATATATTTGATATTTTAAAGAATTTAATTTCTAAACTATTTAATTTATGCGTTTAAATAGGTTTCAATAAAATGGACACATTTTTTTAATTCATTGTCTGTTGCTTCAAATTGCAATATATCAGTTTCCAACTACAATAAAATAATAAATCATTGTAAACGGAAAGATACATTTAACAGTGACTATCTACATTTTACACCAGTTATAAAATAGATTTACAAAACTAATTTCTGGGTAATTTGAGGTGACCATATTTATTTTGATCCAATGCTTGACGCTGAACACGAATAGTCGAATACTCGTAAAACATTCTTGATAAACGTTCGCCAGGTGAACATTTTTTTAGCTTTCAACTATAAAAATACAAAAACAGAGAAGTCATATACAGCCGTCCTAGCAAGAAAGGTACTCTATGAAAATTTGTTGTTTTGATATAATCGAGTTCTTAACTATTTTTCGAAGACATATTTATTATCTTTTAAACCTTTTTTGTGTAACTATTTAACGTTTTAGTACCTTCACGATGCAAATACGTGATTCCGTTATGATATCAGGAAAGATAAAATGTAGACAAATGCACAGAAATAAAAAAAACTACTAATTTTGCAGATAGAATCTTTCTTGCTAGCACAGCGGTATGGATGTGCTCATGTACCTCGCTAAAGATAAATAACATCATCACTTCAGTAAATTATGTATTACTGGCGTTTTATTGGACAAATATACCATTTCGCTAAAAATATACTTATGCCATTTTGCGGTACATTTGCTGCACAAAATCAAATGCTGAATAGACTTTAAATATGCTGTACAATACAGCAAAATGCTGCACCTATGGTCAGCCTAATGTAATAATATTCTTAATCACTAAAAATATATTGTAAGTGTCCCTTTTGTGCTGGATTATAATTCTAGTATAAATAAAACTCAAGAAATTTAAATGTTAAAGTAAATAATATAGAATTGGTTAAGAGCAGCGTTGCCAGAATATATTTTTGTTATGTACCAGATTTGTCTGAGAAATGTACCAGATTCTATGAATTGTACCGTATTTCTCAAATTGCAATGGTTTGGTTACTGAAAAACTTTTCTGTGCGAGACATGCCCAAGAAAGTCAATAATAATTAAAAAAGATACTTTTAATTTAGCACTGATGAATTTATTAATAGTTTCATTTGGCATTTGACAGTACCTACTGATACATTCTTATTTACAAATTCCCGGGGCCCGAGCTCAAATGGGGGCCCAGCAGCGGTGGTGTTTGTTACTTTCAGAAATTTGACACAAGAGGGGGGAAGTGCGTACCTTTTTTTAGAGGAAATCAAGTAGAGGAGAGAAATTTTTGCTTGAGGAACTTTTTTTTTAGAGGAATAAAATTGTCGCGGGGCCCGATCTGGAGAATTGTCCTGGGGCCCGGTCTGGCTCTCGGCGGCCCTGCCCCTACGTAGAGTAATAGCGCCCCCTAGAGAACCGCGCCCCACAGGTTAAGAAACTATTTTTAAGCTATTAGTTAAAATGTATTTTGTTTATTTTTTGTTTTGTTTTAATAAATACAAATGTGCGTTATCTTTTAATTGTATACCCTTACTAGAACATATTTAGGTTTTAATAAATAGCCAGATTAAAATAACTTTTTTCTATGAAAATATAATTTATTAATACAGAAAAAATTAAGTACAAAATTTAGTTAATCTACTATTAGTATTTCTTCATCGTTATTAATGGATCCTTGTAGATTATTTGCTTGTAGGAAACGCCACAATGTCGTTTTAGAACAATTCGGTATAATATTTCTTTTTTGTAATTCGCTAGTTAAGTTACTGATTGTAGGTATTTCGTTTATTGTAAGATCCGCAATAACGTACCTTATTTTATCTTTAAGTGATTTGTCTATTGATCGGAAGCTTTCTTTATCACTTCTTTCCTTTCTCGCGTACGGTCCGTACTTAACTATCCTATAAACATAAACCGTTGCTCGTGAGATTTTTGATATTCTAGCAGTTTCTATTATCGCCGATGCTTTACTCATTTGCTTCAGGTTACCTATTAGATAAATAATTGATTTAATAAAATTGTAAAGGGACGTAATTAAAATTATACTCTTCACAAAGTAGTCTGTGTTCCATTTCCGAAAGAATGGGTGTTTAATGGACTAACAATCATAAAAATAGACAAAATATTGGAAGAAAGGATCAAATTTTACCAAAAATTCGAAAGAAAACTAAAAATAGATTAGAAAATGTTGCAAATTTATCGCCTTATAAAACAATTTGGAGAAAAAAATGCTTTCAGAAAATAAATACTAATCAAAGCCAATATATTTTTAACTCTTTTAAGAATCTCGACTATTGTAAGGAAATACTATTTTTTGATGAATACATTATTTATGAAGTAAAGTAAAGCTAAAGATTTAAAAAAAATTGAAAATGGCTGCATGCAAAGGAATAAAGGCTGTGTTCTGCCAAATTAAATGATAGATCAGTGCAATTTAGAAAAGGATCAAAAAAGTAATTTTACAAACTCTTATTAGAAGAAGAAATTTTCAGAAATAGCATTCTTACATTCAAAATTTATTTTGCAGGAATCATTTACATCACCTACAGGATTGAATACAAATAAGTTAAACATTATAAGTAAAGAGTTACTCGTATTATTACATATGTTCACCTAGTAAACAACTCTTTTGGAAAATTTTGTTAAGCGCGAATAATCTAGAGATTTTAGGAACAACAACCTTTCAGTTTTGAAAATTTGTATATGTTTTCTTCCTATATTTTTTAGAATTATTATACATTTTTAAAAACTTTATAAAAAACCAAAGAAGTTAACTTTATTTGGAAATAAGTACTTAATTATTGTATACATGCATTAGTATAATCAAATTATTATATTTAGAGATATTTTCAGTTATTTTTAATTAAAAAAAAATGATAATGCAGTGGCTATTTTTTTAATTTTAGTTATATTTAAACTTCTGTAAATTATACTAAGGAAGCTACCTCATACTCCAAAAATCTACTTTAAATTAATTTTAACCAACTCAGAAAGGGGAAATCTACTAGGGGGCCATCCATAAATTAAGTCACACGTTAAGGGAGGAGAGTTCGATTACAATTAGAAGAACACCGATACGTCATAACCATTACTTCGAGTTTCAAATACATATTATCTATAACTACCAATAAAGAAAAAATAAGTAAGTTGTTAGGCATTAAACAATATTTCCTATATTCCTATAATATTAACACTCCACTAAACCCCCAGTAGACTGCGATAATCAATTAATTAATTTGCCAAATGATGTAATTGTAATTGAACCCTAACATTGTGTGAAAAGGGGTGGGAGGGGTCCTAAATTTCGTCACATTTGAAAATCTAATATATTTAAGTATTAAAACACGAAATTTGAACTATTAACGGAAACCTTAAAAATAATTTTAATTTAATAATTACTAGTTGTAAAATTGCAAAATATGTGCCGTCACACTAAGGAGGGTGGAGTCCCGCAAATGTGAATGACTATGACAAGGACAGGGGGAGGTCAAAAAACCTCAAAAATCATGTGACGTAATTATTTATGAATGAGTCCTAAAAATACACAAAATACTTGAAAAATTCCAAAAAATACCCATATAATACCTAAAAAAATTCCCAAAAATATCCAAAATAAACCAAATCATACCCAAAAATTATCTCTAAGTTAAAATTATTGTGAGGTAAAATTAGGTTGCCAACTGTGAAAAGCATAATATAGAATGCCAAGTATTCTAGTTACAATGATACAAATAAAAATATTAAAAATATACAAATAAAAACTATTAGATATTTAAAAAAATACATACAAAAATAAAAATATACTCACAATTAAATAGGTTCTTTATCATTATTTTGACATTCTGGTTCAAGTGTATCCTTTTTCTACCACAGTTTAATTCTTCATCACCTATATTTTCCGATTTTCTTAATTCGGGATTATTGACATTTTCTTGATCCATTAGACCTTCTTCATTATCACTCAGCCATGGGCGCCACAAATCTTTTGTTGTCATTGTATTGTAAAAATTACAGTAAGTATTCTGCCAGATATTGGAGATTCAATTTCACAATATAGTATGTACAATTTGATTTTATATTCTGGGTTTTATACTTTTCCGAAGGGATTAAGATTATCCCTACAATTTGATTGACTTAAGTACTGTTTTTAAATTGCCACCTTTCCAGTTAATTAGATTTTAAAATCACTATTATGGCATTATTAATAGAAACTAATTAAAGAATAATGGACGTTCAGGTACCTGCATATTAGATAATATTAAATATATCTAAGAAATACTTATAGGATAATAATAATTATAACAATGAGAGTCCTAAAGTTTTTGTCACAATCGTCTTTAATTTTAAGATAATAAAATTGTGTATGAAAAAATATTTGTTTTTATTAAGGTGATTACAGCACACCTTATAATTTTCGGACAAGCATATCTCAGAAAGTATTTTCTCTTTTAAATTAAAATTTTGGCAAAATAAATTAAGCAATAATGTCTAGAATATGCATACATTTTAAAGTTTTAATTCCTTCCAGTTTCCGATAAAAAAAAAGTCTTTAAATTTTAAAATATTATAATTAAAATAAATGCATTCCTCAGCAGCATTATTCTTAATATAATCCCCAAGGGACCCCGCACACCGCTTATGAAACAGTGGCGACCCGTTAAATGTCATAAATTTTTGATATGTTGCAGTTTTCGACCTCTTAAACAATAGTGTCTATGAGACCATTCAAATCCTTTGTCTGGTTTTTGAGATATAGTCAAACATAAAAAACACCACTTATTTGATAACGGTTATTTCAGGAGAAAGCTAATCGATTTTAATTTTTTGTGCAAAATCTTATTATAACATTTTTTGGCATTCTACGAATATAAAAAGGTGTCAAAAATTATTTTCCTTCACAGGGTGGGCCACAAATAAGTAAGGACATGTTTTTGATAAATACTTTTATTGTTCTAGAAGGTAAAATTTACTAAAAAATAAATTATTGCTATATTTATCATGTCTGATGATATTACAAAAGATATTAGGTGTCATTTATACAGGGTGATTCGTAAATATCGACAAAGGCCAATATATTTTTTATAAGTAATAATGTGAAACACAGTATTTTTACGGGACTTTTGTGTATTTACGATATGTACAATTATCCAATTCATTGACTATCATTTTAACGGAACTTGAGAAAGAAAATATTAATGAAAAAAACATGAATTTAGATGATATAGAACAGTTCACTAAAATTGTAAGTTTTCTAAAAATTCTTCCTTTTTAGGATTTTGCATATAAATATTAGAAGTGTATACAAAAATTTTGATGAATTCTTAACATTTTTAACAACTTGAAACCTGAATGAAATCGACGTGATAATACTTGAAGAAATACGATTCATTTATTCAAATTCAGACTTCATGATACCAGGCTTTAATACCATTTTTAATAACAGCTCACTAAATCAATGTGATGGTGTCTTAATTTTTGTACATAGAAACCTTAATTTTAACATAAATCGCTTAAAACTTAATCAGTATCAGGTAACAATATCACTTTTAACATTAAATATTAGATTAGATTAGGAGTTGGACGTTATTTGTCCTTGTCCACCGCGACCTTTTCAGATCTATTGTGGGACAAAACACACAACATTAAATATAGATAACACCAGTCTTAACATTATTATAGCTTGTTACAGATCGCCAGCCACAAATGAAAAACTATTTGTCGAAGATTTAGATAAATTTTTATGCGATATAAACAGAAATGACTTCGATATAATAATTGGAGATTTAAATTATGATATATTAGACTACGCACATGCGTCCAGTAATAATTACATAGCAATGCTACTATCCCATGGTTTTGAATCTCATATAAATAGTTATACAAGAGTGACCCCAACATCTGCATCATGCTTAGATCATATTTTTGTAAAAAAAAAGTCTACATTCGCTAAATTCATAAACAAAGCATTTGTTGTAAATTATAACTTAACTGATCACGTTCCTATTTATTTCTCAATAAATCATAAAGAGCAGAAAACTTCAGACAGTAAATTAAGCTACAAACATATTTAAAAGTTTGAGGATAACAAATTTTCAAATTTAATTTCAACTATTAAGTGGTCAAAAATTATTTCTAACAAAAACCCTGCAGAAGCTTATAATATGTTTTCTGAAATAGTTACCAACTTAATAAATCGGTGCACAACCACCTCAACAATTACAATAAAAGAAAACAAAAAATTAAAACCCTGGATAACTAATGGTATAATAAACTCAATTAAAGTTAGAGATAAACTTAAAAAACTAGTTAATAAAAACAAACAAAACTTGGAAATTTTAAATAACTGTAAAAATTATAAAAATCATTTAAATAAAATTATAGTTGCAGCTAAAACTAAATATTATGCCAATATTTTTGAAAACACAAAAGATATTAAAAAAATTTACAGTACAGTAAAAGAAGCTATAAATGAAAAGACTAATAAAACTAATGAATAAATTGTTATTAAAAATCCAAAACCCATGACACTTTTACCACTGTTAAAGAAATGGTTGTAAATAATAGTAAATTGGCAGAAACAATTGAGAAACCATCAGACAAGTTTAAAATAAATTATCCGTCTATCAAAGACTCTTGCTTTCTAAAACCAGTTGATGAAAACGAAATTGCGTCACACATCAAAAGTTTAAAAAACTGTAGCTCACCAGGAATTGATAACATCACAACAAAATACTCACACATATAATAAATCTAATATTTCTGACAGGCATTATACCTGAACAGTTTAAAATTTCAATAGTTGTACCTATATATAAAAATGAAAATAAAAATAACATAGCTAATTACAGACCTATTAGTTTTATAAACACATTTGCTAAAATTTTTGAAAAATGCCTTCAAGTACGTTTGTATGCACAGAAAAAACGCTATTGTATTTGCAAGAATAGTCTTTCATTTAAAAACATTCCTTTTACTTCAATTAAAGTAAATATACAATCAACAAAATATCCTTCAACTAATTTGAGAAGTATGTTTATTTTAACTATAGAATAATTTTTAAGTGGTAAGCATAAATATAATTACGTGGAAAAATAATAAAGTTATTCAAATGGCGAGACACTAATTTGAAACAACAACATTTAATAGTTTCTTCAAAATCAAAATTTATTTGATTGAATGAAAATCTCTACTCAAGAAAACAATATAACTAAATGATATAACTATAGTTAATAATTAATAATTAGTAATTATAATATTGTTGTGCGAAAAGAGAAATCTATTCATTTAATTTGAGTTGAAATTCGATCTAATTTAAAGTATAATAGGTTTAAATATTAGTATTTTTATTCCAAACTGAGAAGTTTTAAATATAATTATATATTTTGTCAAAGCAATTATAGTATACAATCTTATTGTTGAGACAATACCGTTCCGTCATTTCGGCGGGGTGGCGGGTGTGGTCGGCAGCAGACTTGTGTATGCCTGCGAATAGTTTGCCAGTTTGCAAATTAGAGACAAAGGGTTAGATGCAGTTGTTAGATCGATGTGTGTGATTTTAAGTGCCGGCTGCTATTTTGTTAAAATGGATATAAATGAACTCTTAAATGCCTGGGAAATGGAGGAACTAGTTCCAATTTTTTCAGGTAAGTACATTTCTCGTTTATAGGTATCATGTAAATACTTTCAACGCCCTAGCTTCCATCGTAGTAGTTTTCAGAATTACTTTTGTTTGTTTGAAAGTCGCCATTATAGGTAGGTACCTACCTATCTATTGTATAAATGAAAAAATGGGATTAAATACGCTTTTTTAGATCTATGCATAATCTTTTAAACTGATGTAGGTATAACGTAGTTTAAAGTTTTGAAGTTTATAAGGTTTGTTTCAGAAGCGGTCCTAGCGGTTTGATAACTGTAAGAAGGATGCGCAAACTTAAAGAATGCCAAAAAAGGATTGCGCGTGCTCTCTTTAGTTGTTATTCGTTAGAATCGCTGCTGGCGCTGCTGCACCAAAGCTGTACTAATGTATTTTTTTTATTTTGCCGAAGAAAAAAATTTTTATAAAAAAAAATACTCGTGGCACTCGGGGACTGCCGCGGTAAAGCTATTGCATAGCATTTTTTTTCTTTGATATTAATTCAAGTTTTTTCTTTGATATTAATTTAAGTTACACTTTTTGAGCGTGGTGACCGATAAGAAAACATTTTTTTTTCTTTTATTAAATAAATGAGAAGTTAATATTGTTTAAATTATTTTTATTATCTTACAATACATGTAGGTTATTCAGGAACTTTTATCATTGCAACTATAGGTTTATGGTAACTGAAATAAGAAACATAAGTTTGAGACTTGATATCCTCTAAATATCTGGATAATACCGCGTCAATGGTGCTGCAAATATTTTGTTGTGGATCCTTGTGGATCATTATTCATTTTCAAATTCAATTTTTCCGAAATTGTGTCTAGTTAGTAGCTAGTCTACACGCATACGTCTAGCGCACTCACACAAACACCGTGCCGAAGTCTGCCGAACTGAAACGACGTTAGACGATGCACGGCTTTCAACGCCGCACCGCTGTGCCGGTCGGAGTAGGGGGTGTTAGGTTTATTTTCGTTACGGAATTTCTGTTTCGATTTTTTGGTTTTTCGATTTTTCGATTTTTTGATTTTTCGATTTTTCGATTTTTGGATTTTTCGAGTTTTGATTTTTCGATTTTTTGATTTTTCGAGTTTTTGATTTTTCGATATTTCGATTTTCTTTTATTTAATAAATGAGAAGTTAATATTGTTTAACGCCGCACCGCTGTGCCGGTCGGAGTGGTGGGTGTTAGGTTTTTTTCGTTACGGTCGTTACGGAATTTCTTGATTCGGTCGCCGCATTCAAAGCCCGCGATAAAAGCTATGCAATAGCTTAAAAAACATCGCACATAGTTGAGTAAAACCGTATTTTTTTTATATTTCATTCATTTCAATGTAATTGCGGCTTTTTCAAACAAACAAGCATTTCTGATTACTATTTTTGTAATCTCTATAGCATACTATCAAAAAATATCATATTGATAGATTTCATAGATAAAAATCAATATCAGAGTTTTCTGTAAAAGCCTTAGAGTATCTATTTTATGTAAATCAGTTAAAATCCTATAACAAAATGTCAGTAGCTCTGTATCACTCAAAATCGCTCGGAGGTGCATTCAATAAATGTCAAAGCATTTATAAATGGTGGATAAGCACGTACCTACTAAATTGTAAAAAAATCGCTTAAATTAACTTAGGTACTTATTTCGCATGTTATGAATTATTTCATAAGTTAGGGATAACCATATTTGTTTCTTATAGATAATAAAATTACTGTAGAGAATCTTCATTTATTAAACCAGGACCAGATAAAGGAACTGATTCCCACAATTAGCACTAGAATAAATTTTATAAAACACTTAAAGGCTTTTTTTAAGTCTGATGACAGTTTGGATATTGCCAATTTGCCTGTGGTAAGTTGCTAAAGTATAATATGCAAAAATAAAAACCTCTAATTTAAAATTTTAAAAACCTCCATATACCTAAATATAACTTTCCTTTTTATTTCGTTAACTTTTCTGATCTGTTAATATTAATGATACGATAGTTATTTCAATCGTAAACATTCTGGAAATAAAAAGAAAAATGGAACAGTTTGGGGTGGATTGTTCTAAAAAATATAATTTGAAAGCTGTTAAAAGAATATTTAAAATCTACAGTGGGCTTAATAACTAATTAAACTAATTAAATTTGCTTGCATTTCTCCATATTAAACAATTCTGATTTCTATTAAAATAACATGTAATTCGTTATTGTTCATTATAGACTTTTGATATGGAGGGAACACCTTTAGAGTCGACAAGTTCCACCAGGGATCAAACTGTCACCAATGACAGCTTTAGTACCACTATGATCGAAAATATTCCTCCTGATGCTAATTCTTCATCAAATACTGCTATTATTGTCCCAACGAACAATAGGACAGTATCTTTTTACGGTCTGGAAAATATATGGACACAAGATTACTCCAAAAATTTTCCTGATTTTGACCTCAAAACATTCCTTACTGTATCACCATATGGGAGCAAAATTTTAAATTACTATCAAACGAATGATCGATTAACGGATTTCTTAAGAAATAAATTAGTAGATATGATTATTACCCAATTATATCCCTATATTATCAAACAGTAAGTTATTTTTATATTTTCTTTTTGGATATTACTTTTTTATGCACATTTTGTTCCATAGACATATTGGCCTCAGCGATGTCGGTTGGAGTTTATCCCTTAAATATTTAAAACATTTTTACTATGCTATGCTATACTAAGTTTTATATTTTTAGCCGGCTCACTCATAGCCAGTACAACATTTTATGTTCAAAAATTTTAAACTTATTCCCAAGTGAGTGTAGTCACACTTACTATCTTTCTGGTGAGAGGTTACATAGCTCTGCTGTTCAAGCCAAAGGAAAATTGGTGTACAAATCTCATAATATACTTTACCGGAGTCCAGACAAAACATATGTCAGAAAAAGAAAAAATTCTACTGTTGATCCTAATGAGACACTTAAAAAAAGAGACAGAGAAAACACGGAAGGTATATCTATACTTTATAATATTTTTTAAATAGGACAGATCAATGCATAACTAAATAAAAAAATAACACATTTTCTCTCAATTTATTTTGGTTTAGTATAATTATTTAAAGTTGTCTTTTAGGTGAAAAAAATGCTATGACATGGCTGAAACATAACCGAAAACCGTGGGATGAGGTTATGAGGCACTGGCAATCGACTTTTGATATAAGAACATGTGGAAATTTCAATACAGTCGCAGAATTTATCATAAACTGGCCTATTATTGCAGACCCTAGGGCAGCTTCATTAGTATGTCATTTACATCTCAATAAATAATTATTTTTTTACAAAATTTAAAGTAGAATTAGGTACATAATATATATTTTTTTAAAATATATACTCTATCTACTTCTTTATAAACTAAGGTTGTTATTGTTGTTTTATAAAACAGAATACTTTATTATTTCAGATTGAAGCTGATTTCAAATGTATGTACCCAGGTAAAGAGCTACAGCTATTGAGAAACTGGCATTTATTTTTTGAAAAACTGTTGGTGTTTAAAAGAACATAAATAAATAATTCAAGAGACCCAATTTTGCAAGATCTAATAAGCTCTCTTGAACAAGTAGATTTATCAGAAGGTGTGTAAATAAAATAATTTTATATTGAATTAAAACACATAGAGGCTGAAATTAAAGAATTATTTATGTAATTTCCGCTGTATTTTTCCAAAAGTAATCATTGGTATACATTTTCTTTGCAAGTATTGCGTCAGTAACAAAGTTATGTATATTTTTTAGATTCCAAAGTAGTTTTGCAGCTTGCAGTCTTGCCTAGAATTATACCACCTAGAGGTAGAAAAAAAGATGGCAAAAATCATTGGAAATGTAGCACAACTGAGGCAGTACATGGGATTTTGGTGCATGCCACGGTAAGTTTGCAATTTTTTAAATATTTCTAGAGACACTTTTTGTTTGAAAAAATGGTCATGCCAATCAAATTTGAACAAGCTCCACGTTAGGCCAAAATTTATAATTTGATTGATAGGTCTTTTAAATTAAAATTTAAATATACAAGGTGATTCATGTATTTTTAGCAATTAATGGATCACACCCTGTATATTTTTAATTCTACTTGATTAAGTTGACTTCAATAACAAACAACACTATTTTATTTTTAGATACCCGGGGATATAGAGAGACAAATAGAAAACCAGGTAAACCGAGCCCTCAAAAGAAAAATATTCAGGCACGTCCAGCCTTATCTACTTGCAGAAGGACCTCAGCTCTCCCAAATTCAAAATATCTATCTGGTGATCGACAAGATACACTTTCATTTAGAAAGTGCTCTGAAAGGACTGGACACTTTGTTTAAATGTTTTTTTGTCCTTCATACAGAATACCCAGTACAGAGTGAACATATTTGGCATATAATACAACAGGTTGTATATGGAATTGACATTCCACCAGAAAAAATTTCTTCAAATATTGTTGATGTAGTTAGTTTTGTAAAACTTGACTGAGTAAGAAAAAACTGAGCATTACCGTTATCTAACTTTCAAATTTGATGTTTTTGCCCATTTTTGCCCATTTATAGAAATAAGAGTTATTTTACCTAGACCTAAACGTTAAATGTTCAAAAAAATAAATAAAAATGAAATGTTCTTATTGTGATAAAAATATTATTGACATAAACAAATTTGTATATCACTTAGAGTATGCTCACTCAATGAAACATAAGTATGAATGTCCAACATGTAGTAGGTGTTTTACTAGAAGGGATTGTTTTAAAAGGCATTTTTTATCCCATGACAAAGATTCGCTCAGTGAAAATATACCGCAATTTGCAAATGACATTTTTGTTCCCGGGCCTAGTATTGATAGTTGTAATATTGCTAATGAAGAGTATAATGAATCTAGTTTTCATGCGGAAGCAAAGAGGGAAGAATTTTTAACGAATTTACAAAAAGCAGTTTTAAAATTCATGACTAAATTAAATATGGATTTATCTATACATCGTAGTTTTATACAAAAGGTAATAGAATTTGTGAAAGAATTTCTTAGTTCTGGTTTTTTAACGATATTAAAAGATTTTTTATTTTCTCCGGAACGTTCTGTTAATCGCTCTCATTTGGACGTAGCAAAAGATTTATTAGACCACATTGTGACTTGTTTCAATTTTATTGATTCTCAGGACGTATCTAAAAAAAATAATATAACCTCGTTAGTATTAAAACAAAGGACCTGTACCTTTATTCCAGTTTCGCAAACACTTAAACAGTTTATGGCAATACCAGGAGTTCTAGAATCCATCCAGAAATATCAGAATGAAAGTTACGTTTCAAAATTTTATGAGCCACAAGGGGCACTTTACAAAAACATATTAAATGGTAGTCTATGGGAAGAAATTTTACAATCCACCCAAGGAAGTACACATATTCCTTTGATAATATACTATGATGATCTTGAAACATCAAATCCACTCGGAAGCCACGCGGGAGTTTATAAAGTAGGAGCTGTTTACTTTAGCATTGCTTCAATACCACCAAGTTACATGAGCAGGTTGGAAAATATCTTTATAACACTAATATTTCATAGTCAAGAGCGAATCGAATTTGGAAACAAAGCCATATTTAATTGTCTTCTGGAAGATCTAAAACAACTTGAATCTGATGGTATTATTGTTACGAATGACAAACAAACTATCAAGTTGTATTTTGATGTTGTTTTAATAATGGATGATAATGTTGGTTTAAATTCAATTTTGGGATTTGTTGAAAGTTTTTCTGCAAATTATTTTTGTAGATTCTGTATTACTCAAAAAGCTGTTACTCAACGTCAAACCCAACTTGACACTCAAAATGAACGGTGGAAAAGAAAGTACGAAAATCACGTCAAGAATAAGGAATACGGTATAAAAGAATTTTGCATTTGGAACGAACTGAAATATTTTCATGTTTACCATAACCATTCGGTGAATTTTATGCATGATTTTCTTGAAGGTATACACAGGTACGATATGACTTTAACAATAAAGTATTTAATTCAAGAACATTTGTTTTCTCTTGAGACATTAAATTCAAGACTTAAATATTTTAACTACGAGTATTCTGAACAAAATCACCCACCGCCCGTTAAAAAAGAACAGCTTGAAAAGGGTATGATAGTTTTTTCTGCTTCAGAAATGGCATGTTTTGTCAAAAATTTTAGATATTTTGTTGGTGATCTTGTTCCTTTTAATAATCAAGCTTGGTTAGTTTATTTGGACTTATTGGAAATTACTGAGATCTTATCTGGTTCTGAAATAAGTTTATCGGATATTCAATGCTTAGAAATGGTTACTTCCAAATATCTAAATAATCTTTTGCACTTATATCCCCATGTTACTCTTAAGCCAAAGCATCACTTTTTACTTCATTACCCTGAGATTTTAAGAAAAACTGGTCCTGTGTCAAAAATTTCTTCCGTTCGCTTTGAAGCCAAACATCGAGAATTAAAAAAAATTGCGAACAGTGTCCAAACTCGAAAAAATATTCCATTAACTCTGGCTATAAAATGTCAAATGCAATTTGCAGGTAGATGTATTTCAGAAAGCGGATTTGAAGATCGCATATATCTAAGCAAGCCAATATTTGATTCTCCTAGCTTTGAGACTTATCAGTTTGAGAATGACTTTAACTGTGATTCTTATAAAGACAATTTTTACCAAGTTAAGTGGTATGAAAAAAATGGTGTACGGTACAGTCTACTAGATGTAATTTCGTATAAAACCGGTGAAGAAAGCCAATACTGCACAATTAAAAATATATTCATTGACCATAAATCAATAAAAATATGTCATCTCATTTGTGAAAACCTAAATACTAAAGAATTAAATATTCATTATAGGTCACACATAGTAGAGCCGGCTAATAAGTACATATGTTTAAAACTGGATGCAGTTCATGGTCGTCCAACAGTCATTCATCATTTAAATAATTTTAATTTAGTTCCATTTTCAAAATCACTTTAATCACAATAAAAGCATTTAATTTTTATAGAAAAGTGTTTTTTTTTTCTAGCAAAACCAGTAAAAGTATCCATATTACTTTGATCTCCAGGGGTCTAAGCTTAAAATGTTTGGAGTAGAAAATAGAGTTCCTCTCTTTGCTAGTAGTATTCAAAATTTGTATTTTTATTTCGCTCTTCGTCAACAAATTGAACTACATTTAGAGCATAACCACCTTAAAAGCCACGGCTTTCTTAAAAAAATTGTATATTTGACCTTACATAATTGTATTGTGTATTAGTCCTTAAATATATTGTAAAACAGACCGCAGGAGGTTAAATATAGGGCTATTAAACGTTTTGAGGAAACTAGATAGAGTAGAAATGTGAAAGTTTGATACGAGGGGTTTTCTGGCGCGCTCTATCGATCTAAAATATTTTTGATACCTGCCACTTCCTGTTAAACCAGAAGTGATCCCAAACTTCTTTATTTTAAAAAGTGAGATTTTCAGGTGAATGTAACCTACACATAAAGACAGTGTAATACACCGTTGAAATCAATGCAAGTCGAGAGGATTACAAAAATGTAAAAATATAAAATATAGGGTATTCTCTTTAAAATGACGAAATTTGGGATCAGTTCCGATTGTCCAAAATATATTAGATCGATAGAGAGAGCACCTCCGAAAACCACGCGTATTAAATTTTCAGACAACTCCATCTATAGTTTCCCCAAAACGATAGGAACTCATCGTGAATCACCCTGTATATTAAAAGTTGGTTTTGGCTTTTGTTTTTGTTTTCGTTTCTGCTGTTGTTACTTTTTTTATATAATAAAACTAGTTTTCAAATAATAAAATTTGTTTTATTTCTGTAGTTAATTGGTGGTTGACAATAATAATTGATAAATTATATTTAAATAACGTTTCGGGAAAGACTGTTTTCAAAGTTAAAAATAACATACATTAACCATTTTTTTGCAATAAATACGGTCATATTCTTTTTTCCGAAATGTTGCTTAAATATATTTCCAAAAAACACCTGGAGATTTTATTCCAAATAATATCAAAATTTGTTTTAAATTTCGTCGAAATTAGGTATAACTGGTTCAATAATAATTCTATAATTTATTAAATGAAAAGGTGTAATTAAATGGAAAAAATATTTTTTTAATTCAATGTGAATTATTCGTGTTTCAAGTGAAATTATTATTTTAACCAATAAGAAGTAATATTAAAATATTGTTCTAATGATTATAGTGAACTGTTGAATTAAAAAAATCTAAATATTAAATAAAGGGCATACGTATTTGATTCGATAATACTAAAGTTCTTTTCTTATACAAGGCTTTAGTTTATTCAATAATACGATAATTATACCAAAATTATAATAATTCACTCAAATTATATTATATTCTGTTGCAAAGAAAGAAACGTTTAAACTAACAATAGGTTCCATTGAAATAAAAGAAAACTCTTGTCGACATCCAAACAAAAACTATTATTATTCCATTGACAACCAATGAGATTTTATTCTTATTACAATTATATAATGAAATTAACAAATAATGATAGGTTTAGCATTGAACTTAATACTATTATGATCGCGGAATACAGAATAGAGTGTACCATTGATTTAATGGTATTCTCATTGACAGTACGATAATGTTTTCTCTGTGTGACTACACAAAAATAATATTCTCACTTAGAAAAGCAGTTTGGGTTTAAAACAGGGTTTAGCACTAACGATGCAATGTTTGAACTTGTTAACCGAATTAAACTTACTTTGGATAAGGATGATAAATGTATTGCAGTGTTCTTGGATTTAGCAAAGGCATTTAATACAGTGCCTCATCAATTTCTCCTTAATACTTTACAACAGTATGGTCTGAGGGGCACTGTATTAGATCTTTTCAAAAACTACAAAACTACAACAAATGGTGAGAACAAAAAATATCTTAAGCGAACCGGAAATCGTTCAAAAGGGAGTGCCCCAGGGAACGGTTCTTGATCCAATTTTATTTATCATTTATATCAATACTATGTTAAAATTATCAATAAATGGTACAATAATCTAATATGCAGATGATACTGTCATTGTATTCGAGGATAGTAGCTGGGGAGCAGTCAAAGAAAAAGCCAAAACGGACATAAGTACTATTAATAACTGGCTTGATTTTCATAAACTCTCTTTAAATGTTTCTAAAACCTCCTTTCTAGCATTCACGTTAACAGGTCTTCTTTCAACAAGAATAAATGAAAACTTTGTAATTAGAATGAACAATACAACAAAATACCTCGGCATAATAATTGACCAAAATTTAAAATGGAGTAAGCACATTCAATCATTAAAAACCAAGGTTAGAAGATTTATTTTTAAATTTTATGAGTTTAGGAAATTTAGGACTAGGAATCTACTAATTACTATTTACAATTCGTTGGCTGAATCTATTTTCCGATATGGTTTATTAATATGGGGTGGTTTATATGATATAGCACTTCAACCTCTTAATGTAATCCAAAATCGTATCGTCAAAATTATTTACAAAAAATCGACATTATATCCTACCTCTCTCTTATATAACAAACAAGTGCCTAATCTAAGAACATTATACCTATTATCATTGTTGTTGTACTTTTATTTATAGAAAGCCTGAACTGAGACATACTGTAAAGCACTTGCACAACACAAGATCTAGATTAACTGAGAATCTGAGAACTCCAGCAGTTCAGCGAGATGCAAGTCAAAGATTTGTAACTTCACGGAAAAAAAATTGTAGAACAAATTTCTACAATTGTAGATTTTTTCTCTACAATAAATAGTACATATAGGGACAGGGACAATTTGTAGAAAAAATTTCCAAATATTTGTGGAGAATGTATTGTAGAGTTATTATCTACAATATTTAGTAAAAAGATCCAAATGCATCATAAGAATTGTTCTACAAATTGTTATAATTTTTGCTATTCATTGTATGAATTTATATTAAAAATGTATTGCGTTTTATGAAAATAAATACGAAAATTTTACACAATAAATAGTAAAATTCATACAAATTGTAGTAATTTTTAATAAAATTTATAGTGGTATTCCATAATTATTATAATTGAAGGGGTAAGTGGATGAAGGGGTTATGTAAAATTTTTAATCCTTTTTTTTGTTGATAAAGAATTAGATAAGTTCATATGTGTCTTGCTTTGGTCTGAACTTGTGCGTCTAATTAGTTCATAATCACTCTTACTAACTCACAAAAACGCGTTTTAAAGACATTTTTCACTAAAAATGCCAATGAATCTAATTAAATAGTTAATTGCTCAAAAACTTTTTTTTTATCATAACCCCTTCATCCACTTACCCCTTCAATTATAACCTAGAAAAAATGTTCCTTAATAAAATATTCAATTTTTTGTTTTAATATAAAAAACAAATTCTTAATTACATTATGTAATAAATAACAGTAATAATAGCGCCCTCAGTCTCAGTTGGCTTTTCTGCACCTGAAAAATATGAAATACCAATTGAATTATTCATACCCTTAAAACGGGGATATTTATCACCTTTACACTGATTTGGATATTAAATGACTAAGTCAGATAACTAACAAAAATGAGAAAGTAGGTATGTCACAATTAAGACAAAAAACATCATTGAACTTGGCACAAAATTCGATCGTTGGGCACAACATTCGATCGTTGGCCACAACTATTTTTTTAAAATAATCTATTAAGGTTATTTAAATTAGTTATCTAAAGGTAAATTATTCAGAAACAATAATAAATGTACTTACCACCAATAGAATTTATTATTAAAATTTTCTCAAACGCATCGGTGCTTATAATATAATAATGTGTTATAGGTACTCGTATATGTACCATGCTTTGTTATGTGAACATGGCGAACGGCTACTGCTGTCTGGCCGTTTATGATCGACGTCAGAAAACGTTGGCCAATAGCAGAATTCTATTTTGTTCACATGACTTAGAATTTCTACAATATTATAGAATATTTTTGAAGAAGGGATGTAAAGTATTACTATTTTTTGTAGAGAAAATTACTATTTTTTGTAGAGATAATTATTAATATTTGTACAAATTTTTACAGAAGTTAGTAGTAGTATTTACGATAATTGTAATAAATTTCTACTTCTACAAACAATAGTAAAATATACTAAACATTGTGGACTTCTTTCCTATTGTTGTAGCATTTTATTCGACAACTCAATTGCTACAATAATTAATAGTTTTTAACTATAAATTGTAGTAAAATTTTCTACAAATTGTTAAGTATCTTTCTACAAGTCTACTACTACAACATTGTAGTAAAATTTTCTAGTCACATTTTTTCCGTGTTCTGTTGCTCCCAAAATCTTTAACACCTTACCTATCAATGTGAGGAATATAAAAAATTTAAAATTATTTCAGAAGAAATCAAAACAGTATATCACTTCTAATATTGTTGTATATAGAAATGTATTTTAGATAATTTGGTATTCTTATTACAGATATTTTAAAACTATGTATATATGAATATATACACGGAAAAAAATGTGACTGGAAAATTTTACTACAATGTAGTAGTAGACTTGTAAAAAAATACTTAACAATTTGTAGAAAATTTTACTACAATTTATAGTTAAAAACTATTCATTATTGTAGCAATTGAATTGTCGAATAAAATGCTACAACAATACGAAAGAATTCCACAATGTTTAGTATATTTTACTATTGTTTGTAGAAGTAGACATTTATTACAATTATCGTAATTACTATTACTAACTTCTGAAAAAATTTGTACAAATATTAATAATTATCTCTACAAAAAATAGTAATTTTCTCTACAAAAAATAGTAATAATTTACATCCCTTCTTACGAAAAATATTCAATTTTGTTCAAAAATATTCTATAATATTGTAGAAATTCTAAGTCATGTGAACAAAACAGGATTCTGCTATTGGCCAACGTTTTCTGACGTCGATCATAAATGGCCAGACAGCAGTAGCCGTTCGCCATGTTCACATAACAAAG